GAACTTCTTGGCCATCCAGAGTGTGAGCTTGTGCGTTGTGATTCATGTGCTTATGGGTCACCTCACCTGAAAGCTTTTGCATTTCTGTGCGTTTGGGCGGATACCAGTTTCATTTCTTTGCGGTGCCCTGGAGGGCATAGTCATGTGCCAGTTCAGGGAGCGTTAACCAAGAAGTCTGCCATCTACGTGAATGACCTTGCAGAGGCTCTGGCTAATATCATGGAAAAGGGTATCACTAGGTTGGCAAGGTTCGAAAAGGCGCTTATGTCGGAGGATGCCCTAGGTTTTGAAAGCCAGCTGATAAATGAGCTTGCGCTTTCTAGTGCTTGGACTTGTAACTCAATTTGGAATTTTAGGATCACCGCACATATCAATGTGCTTGAGCTTGAGGCTGTCGTACGACTGGTTGGCCGCTTGGTTGCAAAGGGTGTCAGCAAGCGCGTCGTCGTTCTGCTGGATTCTAATGTCATCAAGTGCGCTGCTTCCAAAGGTAGGTCATCTTTACGTGCCCTTGCAAAGGCACTGGCAAGGCTGGCCGTCCTGTCAGTTGCTGGTGGCCTCTATTTGGTTTTTGGGTTTTGTCCTACTCGCCATAATCCTGCTGATGATCCAACTAGGGATGTGGAGTTGCGAGGCTCAATCCCGGGCATCGATTTAGCCGCTTGGGATCGCTTGGATTTGTATCGCCTTGCCTCCCTCCCTAAGTTACGTAGATGGGCATCAAATTGGGTCAGGCTTGTGTTATGCCTCTTGGGACCTGCTGCCCTTGGTCTTACTGATCGCTCTGTCCATCGTGCCCCTCCTTTTCCTTATGGTTTACATGCTGCAGCCTCGGCACCTCCGGGCGCTAAAGCCATGCCTTCCTCCATGGAATTTGACTCAACATTGGGCTATCCAGGTGAAGGTCCTCCTCATCTTATTTGCTGTGGTCGGTCAGCGTCCCAGTTTTTGTTTCTAGTGATTTGTTGTGTTTTACGCCTCACCTATGGCGTATTGGTTCCACGAAACGCTGGAGATATACAACGCCTGAGTTTACGAAACCAGCGGCCTCCTCTTCCTGAAGGTAGACCTGTTCTATAGGGAGAGTTCCTAGTAACCTTGAGAACCTTGCGGCTTCATAATCAATTCTTCTGATAGTATCACTAACCAAGGTTATAGCTATATGGGTGACCCTTCAAAACGCAAAGCATTACGCACATAAACATATACCATATATATATATTTTTAAACAAACATCAAACACATATTAAACAACCTAACATCAACCCCAAAAACATCAAAGACCACACGACGACACTCGCTCTCTCCCTCTCGAAAATACACTGCAAACATGACATGAAATAAACGAGTGATCTCACGCATTTGTTTTTCCGCTTTGGCAGTCGAGGGGAAATCTGGAAGTTTTCACCACCGCACATCATACATATGATTGTGCTTCACATCTTGTCCATTGACAGATTTCACATCTTTGGTTTCACTCATGTTTCACATTTTTACTTCGTATCCCCGTGTTTGCATAGGGTAGGGAAACGAGAAACGAGGGTGGGGCAAACACAAAATTTTTAATGGGCACACCCGCCCACCCACCACTGTTTGAGGCGGCGTGGTACATATATTTCACATGAATGCCACACCAATAAAGAGATTGAATGAAACACTGTGAAACCTCATACCTTTGCCTTGAGTTGCACGTCTGATTCAGGAAACATTTTTTTTTGTGCAACCCTGAATAAACATGCATCTCGATTTAAAAATTGCGTTCCAAAAGATTTCATTTGAAACACTTCGTGTCAACATGTTACACACACAACAACATGTCAAATATACACTGTATTTGTTTTGTTATTGTGTTTTTTTTTGAAGGGCGTTCACATTGTTTACTTTCACCCTTAAGCTATAAACCGCTATTAGCAAGCTAAACGCAACCTTATAGCTATATGGGTGACCCTTCAAAACGCAGAGCATTACGCACATAAACATATACCATATATATATATTTTTTTTAAACAAACATCAAACACATATTAAACAACCTAACATCAACCCCAAAAACATCAAAGACCACACGACGACACTCGCTCTCTCCCTCTCGAAAATACACTGCAAACATGACATGAAATAAACGAGTGATCTCACGCATTTGTTTTTCCGCTTTGGCAGTCGAGGGGAAATCTGGAAGTTTTCACCACCGCACATCATACATATGATTGTGCTTCACATCTTGTCCATTGACAGATTTCACATCTTTGGTTTCACTCATGTTTCACATTTTTACTTCGTATCCCCTCGTCCGCTTCAGCTCATGTCATGTCGTGAGATTTCGTTCGGGTCTTTGATATGGGGCACTCAGGATCAATCACATAGATCTTTCCAAGAAAGCTATTTCTGAGATACTGCCTCTGCCCTAGGAGGGTCTCCAGGTTTGAGGAGGAAGGGACTCTGGCCGTCCACAGGTGCATGGGGTGACCTTCTTCGATAACCTCCAAAGCAAGTAAGACGTCGCGCCATTCTTTGAAGCTTGAAGTTCCCTTGACTATCACATCGTACGCAGGCCAGGCGTCAGTGAACCAGATCGCGCGGTCATTGCAAAAAGGTTCTTTTCAAGCGTTTAAACCAACCACTGCAGCATATAGTTCGACCAGGCCATGACATGAGTCTGGCCTCCTGCCTGCCACGCTCTCAGCAAACTGTCAGTTACATTGCATCCAAAACAAAGCACACTTCCTCCTCGGTCGATCATGACACCTCCGATGGTAGCTTCAGGTCTGCCATCAGTGTCGCACTCCAAAGCTCCGTCTGTAAACAACAAGCGAGGTTTGCATGGCATCAATGCTCGAATTTCTCTGGGTCTTCCCTTTGTGAATCTCTCCAGCAAAACCCGCAGCGCTTCTTGAGCTTCTGGGGTAATAGGGACCAACCCAGACTTGTGCACTGTTGCTTCTCTCAAATCGGCTAGGCAAGTTTCTCGGCACGACCCCCACGGTCGAGCCTCGGCAAACTGGAGCTTCCGCAAATAGGAGGGGAGCTTGCTCGCGTCCACAAAACCATATTGAAAAATTTCATTGATATATCCTGAGGCTTCCTCCACTCTGGAAGCTTTGTTCCGCACTCTGATACACCATCTGTCGCGCTCTCCAGATCGAGCTCCACTCCAAGCATCGTCGCACCTTGCTAAAGGGGCTCCAGTTTCTCACTGCTACAAGCAAAACCCATAGTTCGAAAATTTCCAATGCCGTCGACAAGGTGCTCTGTTCAACATATGCTCCCCAACACAGCCCAGCATAAAGTCCTACAGAGTGCCGAAACTGCTAACCCTAAGAAGGCGATGTACGCTTTCCGCTGCACCAAGGGCAACGTTCTCATCAAGAAGCAGGAGGGTTTGTTACGTAGCCTCAAACCAAAGAGACTTTGTTCCATGCAGAGTGCACATGGCCTCTCAGACCTCGCCAGTACTCAAAACAAAGGCAACTTCACCAAATAGTCTCATATACCTCACCAGTATCGCCAATATCCAAAGAACATGTTCCATCGCCTTCAACTTTATCTTCTCCAACATCCAAAAGCAAGGTTAAGCATCGACTCCTCGAAACTGTCTATTGTCCTCAATTTTCTTCCTGCATTACTCCAATGCTGAACATTCCAAAGGCTGACATCAGTTCTGTGGTATTCATAGGGTTCAAAAGGCAGTTGTTTATAGGCTGCTTTCATATCCACGCAAGATGGCTGGACGCAGGAGCTTGGGGAGATTGGTGTTCTTCTTCAGCTCTTCTTCACTCAGCTAGGAATGGTCACTCCAGGTTTGAATACGTCTGTGGACTCAAAGTTACCTATACGTGCACCGACATGGATTGATGCACTTTCAGTTCTTCTGACTGTAACTGAACTGCTCTTGTTGACCATTTCTTCAAAAATTGGAATCTTTGTTTGGCCAGAAAGTGTAGTGGTTCGGTCAGGTACATGAAGAACGATTTGACCATGTTGTCTGGCAGGTTTCTTAGCTCATCAAGTGGGTGCCATCAAATTTGCACAGCACACAGAGACTTGGAGGAATTCCCCCTGTTCGCTTCAGCTCTCAAGAGTTTGCTGCCGGCAGGATTGAGGTGTCTTCCTGCCTTTTGGCTGAACCTGTGGCAACATCCTGTCAGTCTTCGTCTGCAGTAAGGTGTTGTCCATAAAACCTTCAAGTATGCTTGCACACTGTTGGCACATCTGTAGCGGATATTCCGCCTCCCTTGTTGTCGCTGTCATAGCCCTAACCCTCTTGCTGGTGCGGTGCAACGTCGTCACAAATTGGACATTTCATGAAACTCATCTCTATTGGCTAAAAGAAAAGAAAACTTGTCAACTTCTTTCTGGTGCAACCGTACGCACATGCGTTGCAGCCAAATTTGATCCCATGAGCCATTGCAAAAGCGGAAAACGGCAAATCCCACAAAAGACTGTTCGTAGGGTTCTCATCGTCCATGGTATGTCGTGGGATTCCAATATTTCAACCAACCTTCCCAACTGCAATGAAGCAAGTTCGCCGCATCACTCTGGCACGGTCGGGTGTGACTCTGACCTCAAAAGTTGAGGGCCCGCTGAACCATCTGCCATCGGAATCCCTCTTGCTTTGCTGCATGTCCCGCAGGAGTCCCTATGTGAACTCCCAACAACACGCAGTTGTGGATCATTTCAGAGATCCTGTCTATTGTGCTGCACTTAGTTCTTTGCCTGTTTGAATCATGGTCAAACGCAGATACTTCAACTCCAAGCTTCTTCACCTCCGCTGACAAGGGAGCGCTCCCGGCGCATAGCTCAAGGAAAACGTATGGTTTGTCTGTCTTTGTGCCCGCATCATCAACCTTTTGAAATCCGAAAAAAAATTGAATCTGCCTTGTCAGAAAATCATTCGTAGTGTCTGCATGCATATAGGTCTCAGGCTCGCCCCCGGCACTGTTTTCAACAACAGCGTCTTCATTCGACGCTTTCCCGAGGGTCTGACAGCTATGACCCATTTGTTACAATCCCTTTTGGCAGTCTAGGGCAGGGTGAGCACGAAAACAACCCTGCACAGCGCAAACATGCAAGCCCTTCGGGCATTTCTGCCCATTCACATCACACTTCTTCAAATTGTAAGAAAAGCAAATCCTGTGCTTTTTGGGGGTCGCTGCAACGCAACTCAACTTCAAGAGATCATGTGGCATTCTGACAAAAGCTCCATTGTTCCCCTTGCTTTTTCCTTTGCCCTTTCCACCCTCATGCCTGGGTCTCTTGGCTGGTGGTTCACCTGCGTTGCTGTTTGCCTCTCTGGTTCTTTCTGGCTGCGCTGACATGCTGCTCGGTCGAGGTTGAAGCAGCGCAAGTACTTCTGATAACTCAGTGCAATCTTTGAAAACTGCATCCAAGGGCCTCCCCGTGGTTGTGCTCTTGATCCCTTCTCTCGTTTTCTCGGCCAGTATGCAAAACAGCTTCCTATCTGCTAACTCCAATTGCTTCATCGTCGTTCGGGCAAAGCCTGGAGAAGGTTCTTCCAAACGGCTCTGCAAAAGTTTCTCTGTCCAGGATTCCATCAACTTGAAGTCCAGCAAGTTCGACTGGTCAAAAGCCAAGGCTTTCCTGACCAAGCAATAGCGCACCTGAATTTCACTTCCTGTCGGGCAAGGATCTGCTTTCTGTTGTTTTGCCATTTTCAATGAACCTGAAGCATCAAAGGTAAGTGAAGCATCTTTCTTGGTCCCCGACAGCAATTCATGTTCCCTCGAAACCGCCGAGGACCATTCAACGTACTGCAATCTGTCACTGTCATAAATGCTGATGCAACGGTCTATCAATCTATCTCCAGGTTCATACTGTCCAGTGATACTGATCCCAGCTAAACGGAGTTGCTGATCTTTCAAACGGCTCGCACGCTCAGCAGGTGCCAGGCGTCTGGCTGGAGTCTCGTCCGTGGCCTCCGTCCGGGCCTTGATGTCCGATGCTACGTTGGCGTAGCTCTCATTGAACAATCGCCTCATGCAAAACAACTCAAGGGTGCTGGGGTCTCTCTTCAAAAGTTTCTTAATCAAGTCTGTAAAGGGCTTCTCATCTGGAGATCCTGGAGAAAAATTGGAGCTGAACGCAAAAAGTGCCATCGTTCTGATTCCTTCGTTTGTCAAGCATTCCACAACGTCTGTCTCCAGACCTGTTTCACCAGCTCTCTGTTTGAAAACCGCTTCACTATCTCCAAAACTCATGGCGGCAACACCCAGGTGCTCAGCTCAGGTTCACGTGTACGCATGCCATTGTCAAAACCTGACCATCCTGGAGGGACCTGTAAATCTGATACAACTGTTTCTGGCAACATGTCTCCAGTTTCGTGTCATGAATTCATAGAAATAGATGACTGCACCTACACGTTTTTGAAAATTGTAAACGTCCATGAATTCACAATCATGCAGCTTGATCCACGCCGACACATATTCACATAATGATATTCACACAAGACAGCAACATGAAATCGGATCCACAGTTCCCGCAAGGGTTCAGTCCGATATCTCATGTGCACATTCACATGCGAAAGTTTGTCTCCTGCATTGGAGTGTACTGATTTCGCTTGATATGTTTGACCTTCACACATGGTCAAACAACGCTGTCACTTTCACTTTTACCCTTGCGAGCGATCGTCAAGCTGTCATCTAAAACACAAATTGCAAAGTGGGTGCATGAAAGCTGGCTTCTCATCTAGGGCCACGTATGCGGTCCCCATCCTTCTGCCACATTTGAAAAGGTTTCCAGTTTCATCTTGCATGATATGAATGCATCTTGAAATCTTGTGCCGTGCAAAAACGGTCCCTTCATCGCCCAGGTTTTCAAGTCCTGGGTCCCACTTTCCCACAATCTCTTTGATTGCAGCTTCCTCCGGTTCCGGGTCGATCTCACTTTCGTTGTCTGAACCATCCGATGAACTCGATGAGGCGTCAGACCTTGCATCATCCAAATTTGCTTCCTCGTCCATCAAATCTCCTGGGAAGCGCCCACTTCTGGTCGAGTCAGGAAGAAAACGTCCTGCCTTGATATCTTCAAGCATCTTGCAAAGGAGCCTCAACGGCCCTGCCATCCCATCACGGCTGTAAGTGAGAAGGCTCTTGTCGCGGCCTTCGGAGTGATACCCTAAGATCCTCCTGGGGCCATCTGGCATGGCCCATTTTGCTGCCCAACTCAAGAGGGTTGCCTTGCAGCTGTGTGTCCCCAAAGGCACGCTGGAGTTGTGTGCAACTCCATTCAGCAATGCTCGAAGCCACTGGCTGCCAGCACTCACTCCCAGAGGCATCTTCGACCAGCTGTTGCTAGCCGCAGGGTTTGGGAGCAGCGGCATTCTTTCATCTCCTCTTGCAGCCCCAAAATGTTTTTCTCTCAATTCCATCCAGACTGGAATCCATGGTTGGTCAGCGAGGCACAAAGTTGGGATTGCAATCGGCAAAAACCTGCACTTCCGTTCAAGGCTCACACTTGTCTTTGTCCGGCCTGCCACGCCTTCCAGAAAGCCTTGCCTGGCATTCGGCATGTCCAAAGCCAGATGTGAGACCTGTTGAGCATCACTGTACCTCAATCTGCCGTAAACCAAGGTCAAATAAAACCCAGCGCCAATGCGATCGGTGTCTGTCCGACCTTCGTCCAGAACAATCTTCTCAAGTGCCATGACTTGTTCAACGGTCAGTGGAGGTCTCTGTATTAATTTCCTTTTCTCTGCATAGTGCTTCTGAGCGCACCCTTTGATGCGCCCTGATGCCAAAACTGTCTTCGCCCCATCCAAGCCAAAGTGAAAACTTGCAAAACTGATCGCAAGCAGCAACGACCTGTGAAAAGATGGAGCCCTATGCAGACTGCTCTTCATGTACTCATATACCAGATGTTCCGTCAATGGAAAACAGCTGCAACCCAACTGTTCATAGTAATGCACAAGCTGCAACAAAGGCGACACCCGAGCATGAATGGTTGACGTCACCTTGTTACCAAGCGCATCCATCACGCTCTCCAAGAGGCCGCCCTGTGCCATGCTCAGTCTGTTTCCGGCCCACAGCTGTCTGCAAATCTCCCAAGAGCCAAAATGTTTGGCTATCAAGGAGGTCCACTTTTTGTAAGCTGCTTTCCTCTCCCATGACAAACGCTCTTGCCAAAGCCTCGTGTCACTGGAGGATCTCACAGCAATTCCAGCTGACTTGAACGCATCATTTGTTGTGTCACCAAGTTCTGCAAATCCAGTTTTGTTCAACTCAGTTTTGTTGCCCGGGATTGGGGGCAAGATACCTATGCTAAAAAGTTTTTCACCACGCAGTTTCTTGCTCACCTCCCACGGTGTGTTCAGGGTCAAATCCCACGGCATCTTTCTCTGAGATCTGTAATTTGCAGAAGTGATGTTTTGCAAATGCATTTCATATGAAGTGCCCAAAGAAAAATTCATCGCCCCCCTAGTCCGCTTCAGAACGATCACTGGTGTCTTCGTCACTGGAGGTCCCGACCGAAGCAATGTACCACGCTGCAAGTGGCGGCGTTACCACAAGGATGTTGACAAAACCAGTCCAAGCCTGATCTCGGGGACCTGCAGGAACGATTCACTCCTATGCACAAAAGGATGAGACACGTCAGTGAAGTGCAATGGCTGTCAAAATGCATACACCAAGCAAAACCAAATAATGAAGCAAATGCCAGTGAGAAAGCCGCTGCACCAGGTGAAAAGGATCTTATGAACCCACCCAGTCTTCCGAGGTAAACCCAGGATAATGTTCTGATGAACGGCAGCAGCACCACGCTCTCGTACAGCCATGCACGGGGCAAACACAAAATTTTTAATGGGCACACCCGCCCACCCACCACTGTTTGAGGCGGCGTGGTACATATATTTCACATGAATGCCACACCAATAAAGAAATTGAATGAAACACTGTGAAACCTCATACCTTTGCCTTGAGTTGCACGTCTGATTCAGGAAACATTTTTTTTTGTGTAACCCTGAATAAACATGCATCTCGATTTAAAAATTGCGTTCCAAAAGATTTCATTTGAAACACTTCGTGTCAACATGTTACACACACAACAACATGTCAAATATACACTGTATTTGTTTTGTTGTCGTGTTTTTTTTTTAAGGGCGTTCGCATTGTTCACTTTCACCCTTAAGCTATAAACCGCTATTAGCAAGCTAAACGCAACCAACTCGGCGATGTTTGTGTCGCCGCCAGGACAAAGGATCTCCCTGAAATTTGCGTCCTTAGTGAGAGCGCTTCGGATCTTGACCTCAGAGAAAATTCAAGAGTAAGTTGCCTAAGCAGTTCAAACCCGTTTGCTTGTTGGTTTACTGCCACTGCCACTCTGTCACTAGATCCTACTCCATGTAATGCCACACCCTCACTGAAGGCGTTCACCAACGCCACACACCTGGGGTTGTCGTGAAACGCAGCTTTTAAGATGGACATAAGCCTTCGAGACCTTGCCTGTTGTGCTCCACTGAGAGCACTCCATCTGATAGGACCGGGCCAACGGCTACTATGCTGGATTTCTACAGAAAATTCTAAACTTCCACCAGCTGCCCAGGATGACAACTCATCCAAATAGCCAGCCCAACCTAACACCTCTTCTTCTCTTGTCTTCCAAGTTCCTACTGGTGTTGGTGCCGGTGTCAACCATTTTTCGCTTTTGGCGAAAGACATCCAATTGCTGTGAATTTCCATGATTTGATTGTTGAACACCAAAACCAGGCAAAACATCAAATGGCTGCGGAGTCACAAACGACGAATCAGCTGCCCTACCAAGACCATCACCAAACACTTCTGGAACCCCTCTTCTCTGTTGCATAGTTACAAAACGATCTTGCATATGCTGCTGCACTGTCTGTAGCTGTCCCTCACTCATGCTACCTAACATGGCCATGACCTCTTGGATCTGCGCCGCCTTAGGCGTCAAACCTCCCAAGCTCGCTCCAACCGGGCCACTCGGCATGTTTCCTTGGCAACTCATTGGGTTCACTCCTAAGTTTGGAAAACTTCCAGACCTTGGTCCACCAGGCATACTCGCACAACCAAAACTCGGTACACACGCTTGCGAATTCTGTTACATAAACGTTTGTTGTTGGGGAATCCATTGCGCACCAAACCATGCTGGTCCCTGTCCTTGCATTACGGGCATGTTTCCTTGTTGACATCCCTGCACCGGATACCCTTGACCACTTGCATCCAGGTTTGTCGTGCTCGCAAATCCCTGTACTGTGACACATTTGCTTGTTGTTGCTGTGGCTGCTGCTGGGGCATGTTACTTGTTTCAGGTGTTTGTCCATCCATCCCAGATCCACTACCTTGCTGACTAGGCGTTCTAGGCACTGGCGGCAATCCGTCACTACGGTTACAACCACCATTTCCGGTGCCAGGTGGCAATCCGTCACCACGGTTACAACCACCATTTCCTTCACCTCTTTCAGCCATACCAGGACTAGGACAACCTTGCACACCTTGGCTCACACTACCTGGATCCATTCCTACTACGCCTCTACGAGCTGCAAGCAGGCAGCTCCGCTACCATGCGGAAGGCTACAGGCCTTCGAAACCTCTACTTGGGTCAGCGTCCAGGACGTCGTCCTTAACTCACTAAGACCGTCCACGCAACCAAGTCAACCACTCCCAGAGCTCAGCCACTTTTACACACACAAGCACAGGAACAAGATGTTTGCTCATGTCGCTATGGTTCTTGTTGGTGTGTCACGCCTTGACACAAAATGATGCGGAGTCGCCAGTTGACATCTTTCTGTCAACTTCACAAAAGCGATCAAAAACACATGTCCTCACAAAAAGTCTTTACATCAAGACATGGTTTGTTTGTTTAAATAAGTTTGAGTGTTTGAAAATTGTTGAAATATTTCAAGCACCAAAACATGATTCATGATGTCTCCCTCAGATCTGTTGGCAACTCTGGTTCTGAATGCCTTTCAGAACGTTGCTCTCGCTATCATCATTGAGAGATAAAACAAACTAAACTTCTCCGATCAATGTCAAACAAAGTTCCTTCTTCCGAAGTTACAAAATGAATTCTACGATCTTCTCACGATTCCTTCGTGCACTTCTGCAATCATTCTGCGATCGTTCTGCCATCGTTCTGCCGGCAAAAACTAAAGCAAAACATATGGAAAATGGTTTGATTTTCCATGTCACTATACAAATTCAAATCCTCACGATGTTCTCCATGCAATCAAAGTACTCAAAGCAGACGAAAAGTATCTCGTTGTTGGGTTTCGTCATCTCCAATAAAACGTGCAGAACATGAAACGTGCAAATACAATGTCAACCATCACGGTTGAGATGGTGAGCTCACGATGACAAACAAATTCACTTCTTCCAATGCAGAAAAGACCAAATGGATTCATCTCACCACAGATGTCGGACATCTCCTCACAGATGTCATATTTTCACACCTTCACATCTGCAGATCTACACCTTCACACCCTCACATCTGCTGATCTACATCTTCACACCTTCACATCTGCAGATCTACATCTTCACACTTCACACCTTCATCTGCAGATCTACATCTTCATACCTTCATCTGCAGATCTACATCTTCACACTTTCAAATCTGCAGATCTACATCGTCACACCGTCACATCCGCTGATCTACATCTTCACACCTTCACATCTGCAGATCTACATCTTCACACTTCATACCTTCACATCTGCAGATCTACATCTTCACACTTTCAAATCTGCAGATCTACATCGTCACACCGTCACATCCGCTGATCTACATCTTCACACCTTCACATCTGCAGCTCTACATCTTCACACTTCACACCTTCACATCTGCAGATCTACATCTTCACACTTTCAAATCTGCAGATCTACATCGTCACACCGTCACATCCGCTGATCTACATCTTCACACCTTCACATCTGCAGATCTACATCTTCACACCTTCACATCTGCTGATCTACATCTTCACACCTTCACATCTGCAGATCTACATCTTCACATTTTCACATCTGCAAAAGGTAAACACGGTCCTTCCAGGCCTAGACGCACAGTTTCGAGCTGCCCAGCCAAATGAGCAAGCGCAACTCCCTACAATAGTGGGCCCCCAGCTCCTAGAAGGCACAACAGTAAATTTTCCACGGTCCTTAGTCCGTCTTGCCTGGATACTGCAACATGCCGTCACCCTCCTACCCATGGCAGGTGACATTCAAGCAGTAATTAACTCCCAGACAGCTGGTGTAAGCGACATCCATGCGTGGGGGCTTATGCTGCCATCTAGCTCGAGAGTGAGTCCCATCACATACCACTCAGTCGTTGCGGTCAGGTACCCAGACCTCTGCAGATTCATAAACAGCGTCTGGGAACTGGGAAGTTTCGCTTCAGGCGGACTCCCTAGCAGACCCCCAGGATTCCAATTCGTGCTCTGGGACACCAATGCCAGAATCAACGGACTGGTCGCGGTAGATCTGGAGACGCTCGTGTCACAAGTGCTCTCTGACTACCCCCCGAACGCAGGCTTTGCGAATGGACTTTTCGTACCGGCCACCGACCACAAGAACAACCTCAACAGCTCCACCCTGAAGAAAAAATATGCCCGCACACTGCGAGTGGAAACTATTGCTAATTCAGCAGGAGGCACGGCAGAAGTTGCAATTGTGGCCCAGCCAAGCACAGGATTCCTCAATGGAAGGTTCTACCCAGATGGCTCCCCCACGGAAGACACCGAAGACTGCTGCAAGTGCAATGAGCTTCTGCTTGGCCTTTACCTGACGATGTCCAAAGAAGTCCATTGGTCCATCTGTGATACCAATGATGAGTTCAGCATCCCATTGATTGTTGATCTTCCTGACCGCTTTTGTTCCAATGATGGTTTGGCCATCTGTGCAAATGAGGTCCATCCTGGTCCATCCCTGATGTATCTTTCCCCAGCCAACAACCTTTCCTCCATGCTGGTTTGAACTTCGTTGCTTTGGGGTCAAGACCAAAGACTGTCTGGCCAAAGGATGCTGCTTTTCCATGGTAAGGTCGGCCGCGCAGAGAAAT